AAGAGTTTTGGTCTCTTTTAAGCTATGGTCTTTTCAGGTCCTCACTTTGAGTGAAGCAACACCCCTTCTTCAGTGAATAGGCATCTTTAAGAAGTGAGTCAAGGGATGGCCCCTTTAATAAAAAAAAAAAAGAAAGAAAGAAAGAAAGAAAACCAAACTGGGAGAGGAAGAACCTCAGGGTTGTTGGCCAAAAGAGAAACAGTTATTATTTACATTCACTCTGAGCATAGAGGGCCCAAAAAATAACCATTAAGTGGTGCCTGGGCTGGGACCTATTGTTTTCCAATCCATGAGATCCTAAGTGAATTGGGTTTAAGGCTTAGTCCTTGTGAAAGAAAGTGAAGGGAAGTGAGGGGTTTGTCATAAAAAGGAAAGGAGGAAGGGGCTGTAGCTTCAACGTGATTGCTCCTTCTCAACAACAGCTCTCCAGCACCCCACCTCGCTGTCCACACAAACCAGTACAGCTCCTATCACAGAAATGTGAGGCACTCTGTTAAAATGTATACCCTTTGCACCCAAGGACACTACCATTGACTATTCCATTGACCTTAGAAGGTGCGATTTGAATTGGTTTTCCTTAATTGAAGATTGGCTTTTATGGCCACCCGGGTGAGTGGGAACTTGCCTACTACCCTATATCTGGTTGGCTCCAGGCAAGACTATGCCACACTGTCTTGCTATCTGCCTCGTGCACCAGTTAGTTACTTTGCCCTCCCCATGTATTTGTAAGGGGCATAGTCAATTGAGCCCTGGGTTTGGAGTCAGGAAGACCTGAGTTCAAATGTGGCTTCAGTTTCCTCAACTGTAAAGTGGGAATAATAATAGCACCTACCTCCCAGGGTTTTTGGAAGGGTCAAATAAGATAATTAATCAATAACCCATAAACATTTATTAAGCACCTACTGTGTGCCAGGCACTGTGCTATCCACTGGAGATACAAAAAGAGGCAAAAGGCATTCCTTGCCCTCAAGGAGCATACAATCTAACAGGAAAGAAAACACACAAGCATATATATATATATATAAAATCAAGCTATATACAGCATAAATAGGAAATAATTGAGAGAAGGTGCAGGAGTTGAGGGTTTGGAAAAAGCTTCCTATAGAAGGTAGGATTTTAGTTGGGACTTACAGACAGCCAGGAAGGTCAATAGTTGGAGGAGGAGTTGGAGAAGGGAGAGTGTTCCAGATATAAGGAACAACCAGAGAAAACATTTGCAAAGCACTTAGCACAGTGCTAGGAACATAGTAGGCACTATAGAAATACTAATTTCACTGTTGTTGTTGTTAATTATTATTACCAATTCCCCAGGAGATTGGCAGACCTACCAGCCTACTAATAAATCAATAAGATGAAGGCCTCAGACTATACCTCATTTCTCCCTATAAGCCAGGGGTACTTAATCACTTTTTGTGGCATTAACCCCTTTGGCAGTTTGGTGAAGCCTATGAACCCCTTCTCAATATAATGTTTTTAAATGCGTAAAATAAAATACATAGGATTACAAAAGAAACTATTGAAATACAAGTATTAAAATATTAAAAACAAATTTGTGATACAGTAATATCTGCTTTTAATATGCTAAGTAACAAGAAAAAACATTTAAAATATAGACAAGAATTAAATTTGATTTCTCAAATCTATCAGTGTGGTAATTATTGTTGCTTAGCTTGAATAAAAACATTAAACTCTGGGTGGTCTTTAATGTGGCACCACACACACACACACACACACACATGTTGGATGTACAATTGATTTGGATTTTTTTGTTCTGATGGTTACAAATGTTAAAAATTGCAATCTGCAATATGTTATTGCAAATGGAATTAGTTTGTGTAGCTCACTTTATTTTTTAAAAGCATTTCTCACTTTAATTTGATTTATCAACAATCACTTCCATAAGCTTTTGAGTTTAAATTTCCCCCCCCTCCCTCTCCCTGTCCCTCCCCAATACAGCACACAATCTGATATAGGCTATACATATACATTCCTGTTAGACATGTTGTAAGGAAGAATTAGAACCAATAGGACAAACCATAAGAAAGAGGAAATCAAAAGAAACAGAAGGAAAAAAACAGCAAATAATATCCTTCAATCTGCATTCAAACTCCATCATTCTTTCTTTGGATGTGGATAGCATTTTCCGTCAAGAGGCTTTTGGAGGTGTCTTAGATCCTTGCATTGCTGAGAAGGGCTATGTCTATGAAAGTTAGTCCTTGAACAATGTTACTGTGTACAACCTTCTCCTGGTTCTGCTCACTTCACTCAGCAGCAGTCCATACAAGTCTTTCCAGGTTTTTCTGAACTCTGCCTGCTCATCATTTCTTATAGCACAATAGCATTCCATCACATTCATATACCACATCTTGTTCAGCCATTTCCCATTGTACTTGTGCAGTTGATTCTTTGGTTCAAAGTGTTCAAAGGCATTTATCCTTGTATCATCCCAGAGATGACATCTCTGAGGGCCCCTACAACTCTAGGACAGTGTAATTTTACAGATGAGGAAGCTGAAACTCAGAAAGTGCCCTGACCTGCAAGGTCATCCAGCCAGTTAGTGGTAGAGAGGGCTCAACCACAAGGCTCTTGATTTCTTTCTACTTCTCTGTTGTTCTTTCCCATTACAGACCTTCATATGATAATTGCTATTGAGAAAATGCATGGTGACTAAACATTCTTAGGAATTCAGTATTGCTCTACAAATCAGTTTGCATTTTATTTATCACAGGACATCTAATACATTTGAAAAAATAGTAATACATATATTGTGAAATATGTATCATATTTACTCTGTAGAAACTATTATTCAAAATTTAACAAACATTAGGTATCTACTATGTGCCATGCATCCTGCTAATCACTTGGAATACAAAGGCCAAAATATAACAGCTGCTTCCCTCAAGGAGCTTATATTCCATTGGAAAGGGAAGAGGAAGGGAGTAAGCATTTAAATAGTGCTTACTATGGGCAAAGCGCTATGCTGAGTACTTTTACAAATATTATCTCGTTTGATCCTCACAACATCCCTGTGAAGTAGGTGCTATTACTACCCTCATTTTACAATTGAGGAAACTGAGAAAAACAGGTTAAGTGATTCCCAGGGTTACACAGCTTATAAATGATGCCAAATTTGAACTCAAGTCTTCCTGACTACAGGTCTTGTGTTCCACTGCTCCACCAGCTTCATGGGGGGAAAGAGGAAGCAACATGCACACTGATAAGTAGATGGAAACTATTTTAGGGGGCTGGCAGTAACATCTGGTGGGGATAGGGAATAGCTTCATGTAGGATATTATGCTTAGCTAAACCTAAATTCTAAAGAATTGAAGTAGAGATGAAGGGAAGTGTGAATTTCAGGCATGTGAAACAGGGGGAGGCAAAAACAAGAGATGCAATGTCCTGTTTAAGGAACATCATGTGAACCAGCCTGGCCGGAAGGTAGAGTAGATGGAGAGTAATGTGCATTAAGCCTGAAAAGGTTGGCCCAAAGCAGCTTTTGAAAGGCTTTAAATGTCCAACAGAGTACATGGTTTATCCTAGCTCAGTACAAGGAGCTTCTTGAGCAAGGGAACAGTCCTGTGCTTTAAGAACATCCCTTTGGGGGAGGGTAGAGGATAAATTTGGAGAGGAAGGAGACTTGATGTAGAGAAGTTAATTAGGGGACAATTGCAATAATCCAGATGAGGAATAATGCTGGCCATAGTGGTGACCATGTGAGTGGAGAGAAGGAGAGAAACCTGGCAATTGATGATCTCAGGAATAATGAGAGTAAAGAGGTGAAGAAGATTCCCAGGATTGCAAAATTGCGTAGCTAGAAGGGTAGTGGCATCCCCATGAGAGAAAGTGATATTAGCAAGATGGTTGAGTTTGAGAGAAACAATGAATTCGGTTTTGGATTTGTTAAATCTAAGATGTATACATAACATGCTGTTCTTCAGAATGTCTGTGTGACTTTAGTTCTGTTTGTGAACAAAGCTGAGAGTTTCAATGATGTAAGCTAAAACTTAATCATTGAAGATGTTTCCTCAGAAGTTACTAGGCTCTCCCTTCCTGGAGGTCTTTAGTTGGAGGCTGTATTGTTGGAAATCTTAACAAAAGGGATTCTTGATCAGATTTGGAGTTGGACTGGCTGACCTCCGAGGTGGCTTCCAGCCCTATGATACTTCTTTGTGACTGGCTCAGTGTCATGTGGCTAGTAAGTCATGGAGCAAGAAGTGGAATCTAGGTCTGTCCAGAGCTCTTTCCATGACACCACAGTGAACGAATGTAAAGTCTAAATTACGGAATATAGCATTTTTGATGTAATCTTTTTTTTTCTTTTAAACAGGAAACATTGTGTTATCTAATGAAGGTCTTTAACCTATTGTAATAGATAAACATGGTTTTTTATTAGCGTACTCATTTCTGTGTGTAAATGGTGATTCTAAAACATTTGGAAATAATTCAGTATCCCTAAATAGTCTAATTATACCACCCACCACCACCCCCTTACAATATTACTTAAGCTGTTAATTTATTTTAGAGATAAAGTGAAGATAAAACCAACTCTTGTCCAAAAGTCTATCCTTTTTGCTTTCTTTTATCTGCAGTAAGTAACACTCATATTTCCACATTTACATATCAGTAGTCAGGGAAAACAGATAACTAAAGTTTTTAATATTGTCTATAAACTAAAAGTTGGTTGATTCTGAAGGAAGACCTGAATGTAAAGCATGAACTTTAGCTCTGCTTGGCTGCTCCAAGGACTTGATTTGTTTCCTTTCTAGTCGTTGGCTATGTTCTAGATATAGGTAGTCTTAGGCAAGTAGCCCCAGCCATACATTAACATGTGTTGCCAGAATAGAGATCTTCTTGTTACCTATTTTCATGAATAAACATGACTGGTGATGAGCATATCATTTTATGTGAATGTATTTTGCTAAAGTCACTGAATGTTCACATAAAATGGGTTGGCAGGATTTCCTAAAGTATTTTCTCCTTTTCTTCTTTCTCATATGTAGGTTGCAAGATGGGAATACAAAACACGCAAGCTGAGCCGGGCCTTTGGGTCTCCCTATCTTGCATGTTACTGTCTGGGCACAATTGTCCTGCTGCTGAACTTCCTCAGGTCTCACTGGTAAGCTACTGACTTCTTCTTGAGCAGCCCTCTTTTTTTTTAGACCATCCTATTTATCTCCCAGCATAGTATTTTCTGGCCCTTTGGTAATCCCTTCTCCTGATGTGTTTCTGCTTTTCCTCAAAGGTAAAATTCTTCTCATCTCCCCCAGTTGTTCCCAGTTCCCCAAAAACAAGTCTGTTTTTAACTTAAATAGCAAAAAAAAAATTATTAGTACAGTATCTGGAAGAATAAAGGGGATATGTATTAAATAATAACTCACATTTATGTAGTCCTTTAATGTTTACAAAAATGCTCTCTTCACAATGAATCTGTAGGGTAGATAGAACATACTTGGCACTGGAGATGGAGAATATCTTGGAATGGAAAGTTTCATCACTCCATTTTACGGATGAGGAAATTGAGGCTCAGAGAGATTAAATTTCACACTCCTGAATACATAGCCAGTAAATGTTCAAGGCAAGATTCAATTCTAGGTATCCTAGACTCTAAATCTAATGGTTTTTCCATTCTTCAGTGTTGCTTTATAAAATAAAATGGATAGCATTTTATGGCTGGATGAATAGACAAATAGATTGATGTGACATACACAGGATTGGCCATTGATGCTGTAAAAAGCTTAAGTATCATCTAGCATTTGAAAGGAGCACCTAGGAGGCTCAGAATGTAGAAATATACAAATCTCAGCTTCTTCACTCATGCTGGGCTCGCCCTTTTACCTCTCTGTAAAATGGGTGTAATTGTAGTGATCTCTTTAGCCAGACTGAGGAATAAGCAGGATGGGGACAGTGGACAGTGCTCTGATCCGGACTGATGATGAGTTAGAAAGTGAGTGCCAGAAGGACCTTGGGAACCACCTAGTGGAGCCCCCTTGCTCTATGGGGAGGAAGCCAAGATCCAGGGAAAAGGAGAATTATCTTCTCCAAGGTCACCCAGCTAGTTGGTAGCAGAGAACTTTGGTCTCTTTAAATCACAGTCCAGTTTCTTTGTATCCTTCACATTTACTTCTCTGATTATGTTCTATGCTAATGGGGCCAGAGATAAATAGCATGAATAAACAAAATCTCTAGATTTTATTTATTTTATCCCTCCTGCAGTCTCCAAGGAGGCACACTCTTAAACTGAAAGGAAAAACAGATAACCCACCCTTTGGTTTATCTTTTCTTTTGTATCTGAACATTAACTTTCTTACTCAATTTTGAGGCTTCAGAAATCTTCCTTTATTCCATCCTTCTGCTTCTAGAACCTTCTGCCCTCCAACCACCTAAGAAAAATGAACGAAAATAGTGCCCCTCTGGAAACCGAAGGTGACCTGAACTTAGCTCCCAGGTGTATCAGGTTTTCTGCATTACCTGGAGTGAATCTGTCCTTTGAAGCCTCCCTCCTCTTCTGGGCAGAATTTATCTTTGGTGACCCTTAGTTTTTGTGTCTTTGTTGCGTCTTTGTTGCTCTCTACTCCTGCCCCAGGTACTCAGAGCCCTTATTCTACCTACCCACTAGGTAGAATACCTACCCAGCACTATACCTAGTCAGAATCTACCCAGCACTGTAGTTCTTCCATTAATTGGACCTGATCCATTTCTTCAAAGTCACATTAGGTGACAGCTGTGTAATTTGGTACCTGAATTCAGATTAATCTATTAAGCCAGTGGATTGATGTGTATTATACCCATTTAACATGGAGAGCACAGTATCTTAACCCAAAGTAGAAGTGGTAGAATGTTCAGGGCTGTTAGAGAGATGTTTTCAGATATGAGTCTCTTGTAAGCCTCTCTAATGTAGATGACCATTTGTTCTGCATATGTATAGGGCTAGTCCTGCCTATTTGGAGTTAGAGGTGGAGATAAGACCTTAGGTGACTGTCATAAATGGATATAGTTTCTATACTACTCAGGTTAGCTCAAAGGTACCTGCTTTCTAATTTGGGCATCAAATAATTTATGTACTACTGACTAATTCAGAGTTTGGCGGCTGGGTCGTGGGATACGCCAAGAAGTGTTTTAGGGAAAATGAGAGGCTCTTTTATAAAAAGGCAGTTTTAGATTTGATATTAGGAAAAACCTCCTACATTAGCGTTATCCCAAGTGAAATGAATGAGCCACCTTAAGAACTTAACAGGCTTCCCCTCAGTTTAAAAAAAAAATTAAGGCAAAGGCTGGGTAATTGTTCTTTGGCTATTCTTTTTTTTCTTTGTTTTTGTTTCCTTTTTTTTTTAATTGGCTATTCCTTAAGAACCCCTGGGGTCCAGCAGCTCTTTGCTCCCCCAGAAAGAGCTGAGGCTGTAGTGGGTGAAAATCTCAAGGAGTTGGGTTCCCACTACTGTCCACTCAGAATGGACCTGCCCAGAGCTATAGGGTTTTTGTTTGTTTGTTTGTTTTTTTACTTTGGCAGTTATTCTGATAATAAAATGTAAACATGCATGAGTGGGAAGAACAAAGTGTACTTCTGTATTTTCCCCTACCTTCAAAAATGAAAATCCCAGGTCCTATGGACTTGCTAAGTTCCATGGTATCGTATGATACCTGACAGTCTCACAGGACCCCCTTGTTAAAGCTGAGAATTCCACCACCGATGATCCTTTTCTTTGAGTAAAGCAAAGCGCTCTCTCTGCTTGCTATTTTTAAAATGTAAATACTACTAGGAGGGTGTAACATTAAGGCCCTAACATGTTTCTGAACAAGGCTGGCGGAGCCTTTTGTCTTTGAGGAAGAGTTAGTCCTCTTATGTTTAGAACACAGAACTGGGAGTTGAGGGATCTGAACATTAGTCCTTCTTGTTCCACTAAGCCTGTGACCTTAGGCAGCTTATTTCTCCTCTTTGGGTCTCTTTAAACCTTTTCTGTAAAATGAGAGGTTCGAACTAGGGTCCCTTCCACCTTTACTACACGTTTTAGTTTCACTATTTTGCCTGGAGCTCCCTTTTCTGTCATTACTCCCCTGTACCACTGAGATTCCTGTTTCTTTCTCTTCATTCATCATGGCATGGTGTCTGAATATTTGAGGATTGTGATGTGCCAAAAAAGTACAGAGTGTTTCAAGAAATTATTGCTCTTAGCTGGAGAAGATAAGCATCGAACCAGTCCTGATTTTAATTAAAGATGTTCTCCTATTTCAATCTTTTTTCCCCCCTAGGAATGGAGTGAGGGAAGATGGGTCTAAGGGGAAGCTTCCCTAGTGTCCAGAAGAACTGAGTGTGAGGTCCCCTATATGAGTCAGCCCTATTACGGGGGTCCTCAACAGGACTATTATGTAATTACAGCTATCTTTTGACCAAGGCATAACAACTGTGTTAAAGCAAGTCCTTGCCAGATAATTTAAGCTGAATTCTTTCCACAGTCAACAACATTCTCTTATGTCCAAAGTGCAATTACAGAACATTCTCTGTCACAGTGGGATTCAGTGCAGCCAGTGGGGGTGGGGATTAGGATCTGGTTTCCCTGAGCTCACCGTTCTCTTTGTTGCCAAGAAAGTGCAAATCTCAAAGTTCTCTTCTGTTCTACCCATATGTTGGTTTTAATAGATTGCTCTGTAACAATCATGTTCTTCCATATTGTGTCTGTGCTGGCTGAAAATAGCAGAATCCTCGGTAGGGAGTGAGAGAGAATGAACAAGTTGATTCTGGGTCATTTTCAGGTTTTGTTGTTGTTATTGTTATATAGTATTTCATTTTTTCTAATTAACATGTAAAGACAATTTTAAACATTCATTTTTAAAAAATTTTAATTTCCAAATTTTATCCCTCCTTACCTTCTCCCCTCCCTCAAAAGGTGAGAATTTTAAGTAGGTTATATAATGTTCATTCATGTAAAACATATTTCCATATTAGTGAATTTGTGAAGGAAGAAACATACCAAAAGGAAAAAACCACGAAAAAGATGAAGTGAAAATAGTATGTTTTGATGTGCATTCAGACTCCACCAGTCCCTTCTCTGGATGTGAGACAGCATTTTCAATCATAACTCTTTTAGAATTGTCTTGGATCACTGCAAAATGATTGCAAAATTAAGTTATTCATAGTTCATCATCCCACAATGTTGCTGTTACTGTGTACGATGTTCCCCTGGTTCTGCTCACTTCACTCCGCATCAGTTCATGTAAGTCTTTCCTGGGTCATTTTGAAGACCACAAAGCAACTTCCTTGGTATCTGTGATAGTATGTTCTCTTAGAATAGGGAAGAAAAATTTGAAAGTTACAAAGTTGAAGGTGGAAGGGGCTCAGAAAGATATGTAGGAACAATGTATATGTAGAGCTTATATCAGATTTCTGAGAGGGGAGGAGAGGGAGGTGGAGAAAATTTCAAACTCAAAAAGCTTATGGAAGTGAATGTTGAAAACTAAAATAAATTAAATTTTAAAAATGTAGGAATGTTGGATTTAGTTAGAAGGGACCTTAGAGATCATTTAATCTGACCTCATTTTACAGTAAAGAAACAGAGACTTGGAAAGGGGAGGCAACTTGCCTAAGGTCAAACAGGGAGTAAGTCTAGGACCTTGAATTCCTCACTAATTGGCTAATCAAATCCTACTTGCCCTTTCAAGCCCCACCTCTTTCTGATTTACTTGTCTAGCCTCCAACATCTCTGCCCTCAGGATGTAGTCATGTAGGGTTTTTATGTTTAGTTGCTTTGGGGCATTAATTTTGTCTTCCCGGTTAGATCATAACCTTTTTTTTTTTTAAGGACAGAATAGGTCTCCTCTGTATTGTTGGGGAGTGAGAAAGCCTCTCTCACTGCCACGCTGCCAAAATTTGTACCATTAGAGACTGATATTCTTAGCTCTGAAAGGCTAAATTTTAGTGTCCCTTGTTAAAATACAGGTATTTCCATAGGAAATATCTGTGGTGTTTAAGAAAAAAAAGGCACCGATAAAATTTTCAAAATACATGTAAACATCCATACATGCATGCATGCATACATGCCTTCCTACATCTGTATAATGCAGACAGGCCTGGGTACTGGAATCCTTTCAAGCCACTATCTACTACTATCTTTTCAGGATTCA